CGCTCCTCAGCAGAATCGTAGCCCCACCTGCTCGTGCTGCTGCTGCGGCTTTGGCCTGCTGCGCTGCGCTGCTGCGTCAGCAGTGCCTGCTGCTGCTGCTGCTGCTGCTGCAGGTTTTGCTGCTGCAGCTGCTGCAGTTCTGCGACGATCTGCTGAACACGCCGAGAGTCCCGTGCTTCTGCTGCTCCGAAGATGTCCCTGCTGCTGCTGCTGCTGCTGGCTGCCTGGCTTTCAGCTGCTGCAGCTCTTGCTGCTGCATAGGTGGCTTCAGTTATCTGGGCCCGCGCTGCTGCTGTCTCCGGATCAGGCGTAGCTGCTGCTGCTGCTGCTGCTGTTGCTGCCGCTGCTGCTGCTGCCACAGTAGCGGCGCGCTCCGCTGCTTCGGCGGCCTGGCGGAGAGCAGCAGCAACGGGACTGTCAGCAGCAGCAGCAGCAGCAGCAGCAGCAGCAGCAGCAGCACTCCCGGGACTCGAAGATTCTTCTACAAGAAGTTCTCTTCCGACTCTTTGTCTTTTTGCTTCCGCGTGGTGGCGAGAGGCGGACTCGCGCTGCTGCCGCTGCCTGTTGCTGCTGCTGCTGCGCTGCTGCTGCTGCTGCTGGTCTGCTGCAGCAGCTGCTGCTCGCCGCTCCTCCATCGCAGCCAGGCGGGACAAAAACAGCCACAGGGCCTCGTGGGGCTTCTGCGGCTTCCCCTCCTGCCCCTGCTGCTGCTGCTGCTGCTGCTGCTTCTGCTGCTGCTGCAGCAGCAGGCGGTGCCTGTCGCTTGTTGGGAGACGATCCCACCACTGCCACAAAACAGCAAATACTTCTACAAGGAAAAAGAAGCGCAAGTACATTTTTGCTGCAGCACGAGTGCCCTCAGGCGTCTCTGCAGGCTGCTGCTGCTGCTGCTGCTGCTGCTGCTGCTGCTGCTGCTGCTTCTGCTGCTGGGTGTCTTGCTGCAGCAAGACCTCCTCTGCTGTCTTGCCCAGCAGCTGATCTACTTGCAGCTCTTCTGAGCCCTGCTCTCGGGCCAGCTCCTGCAGCAGCTGCTGCTGCTGCTGCTCCTGCCGCATCAGCTGCTGCTGGCGCTGCTCCCGCTGCTGCTGCAGTATCAGCCGCAGCTGCAGCTGGTGCTGCACCACCTCGCTTAGCTCCAGCTCTTCGCGGGCATCTTCAAAGAGCTGCTGCTGCTGCTGCTGCTGCTGCTGCTGCTGCTGCTGCTGCTGCTGCTGCCGGCCTTCCTCCGCCATTGTGTCTGCACGGCGCCGCTGCTGCAGCAGCTGCAGCCGCCGCAGCTCATCCTGGTCATAGTGCTGCAGCAGGTTTTCGTAATGCTGCCGCTGCTGCTCCTCCAGCTGCTGCAGTTGGTGCTGCTGTAGAATCGGTCCCTCACCCCCGCTGCTGCTGCTGCTGCTGCTGCTGCTGCTGCTCTGAGTAGGCTCTTCTCTGGTGGACTCTGCAGGCAGCGAGGCGCCTTCAACTGCAATGCTGCTTTCTGCAGCAGCAGCTGCAGCAGGAGACGCAGCAGCAGCTGGGTTTGCTGCGGCTTGGGGAGCCCTTTCTACAGCTGCTTCTGCTGCTGCTTCTGCTGCTGCTGCTTCTGCTGCTGCTGCTTCTGCTGCTGCTGAGTCGGTTGCTGCAGACTGTTGCTGCTGCAGCTGGGGCAAAGCCTCCTCTAGGCGCAGTTGTATGGTTGAGATAGAGAGACGGGGGGAAGCGCTGCTTAGCTGCTGCTGCTGCTGCTGCTGCTGCTGCTGCTGTCTGCGTTGCATCCTGTGCTGCTGCCGTTGCTGGCGTTGGTGCTGGTGGTGCAGCTGTTGCTGCTGTGTTTGCAGCAGGAGGACCTGCTGCTGTTGCTGCTGCTTGCCGGCGTCCTGCTGCAGCTGCTTCTCCCTTGCTGCTGCTGCCTTGGCCTCCGCAACAGCAGCTAGCAGCTCAGGAGGTCCTGCTGCTGCTTCTTGATGAATAAGATCTGCATGCAGCAGCAGCAGCAGCCGCGTCAGCAGGAAGAAGCGGGCGCCAGGCCGCTGCAGCGCAGCAGCAAAAGTCATGTCCACGCTGCAGCAGTCTGACGGCAGCAGCAAACGGGGCTCGCCCCCTGCTGCTGCTGCTGCTGCTGCTGCTGCTGTTACTGCGCTGCTTGCTGCAGCCAGCGGGTCGGCCAGCACAAACGGGCCATGTGGGCTCCTGCTGCTGTCCGCAGAGCCGCCGCTGCTGCTGCTGCTGCTGCTGCTGCTGCTGCTGCTGTTTCTTCTGCTGCGGCTGCCGATGGGAGAAGTCAGCAGCGGGGAACCCAGCAGCAAAAGCTGCTCCAAGTCCAACTTGTACAAATCTAAACAAGTTATGCTGCTGCCTTCCACGCGGCTTTGCTGCAGCAAGTCGCTGAAGTGTATGTACACCGCATGCAGCGCATGCAGCGCCTCCGGCCGCCAAGACGCTACAGACGAGGCCTGGTGACGCAGACTCAGCTGAGCAGCAGCAGCAGCAGCAGCAGCAGCAGCAGCAGCAGCAGCAGGGCAGCAGCAGCAGCAAAGGAGAACGGGGTTGGAGACCTCAAGCAGTGCAGCGGACAAGCAATGCCAACAGCAACACCGACAACTTCAGCAAAGAAGCTCAAAAGGGAAAAGAACAGGCAGCAGCAGCAGCAGCAGCAGCAGCAGCAGCAGCAGCAGCAGCAGCAGCAGCAGCAGCAGCAGCAGCAGAAGAGCAGCAGCAGCAGCAGCAGCAGCAGCAGCAGCAGCAGCAGCAGCAGCAGCAGCAGCAGCAGCAGCAACTAACCTCTGCTGCGTCGATGGCATCACTCATGATTTTGGCTATGACCGCAAGCGGATGGGCAATGAGCCAGCGACGCGATATATTCCACTTTTTAGGAAACTGCAAGTCTGCTGCTGCTGCTGCTGCTGCTGCTGCTGCTGCTGCTGCTGCTGCGTGGTTCGACAGCCGCCGGCGCTCAGAAGCCTCTGGCAGCAAACCCTCAGCGAATCTCTGCTGCTGCTGCTGCACAGCGAACTGCTGGTGCTGCAGCATGTCTGCTGCTGTGTAAGCGTACTGGCGGTGCCGCTCGCGCTGCTGCTGCTGCTGCTGCTGCTGCTGCTGCTGCTGCTGCTGCTGCAGCTCTTGGGCGGGCTGGTGCTGCGCTGTGAGAAGTGTGGGGGCCCCTCTGTACCTGAGGCGCCTCCTGTTGCCGTTGCTGCTGCTGCTGCTGTCGCTGCTGCGCTGCAGGTCTTCTTCTGCTGCTGCTGCTGCTGCTGCCCGGCTGGGGGGGTCCACGATGCCCCAGAAGAGGGCGTTGGTGGCTGCCGCTGCTGCTGCTGCTGCTTCGCCTGCTGCTGCAGTTGCTGCCATGACTGCTGCTTCGCCCCGCAGCAGCAGCGGCGCGGGGAAGCTAAGAGGAGACACACGAGTGGCCACGCTGCAGAGCAGCAGCAGCTCATTGACAGCAGCAGCAGGCGGCAGCGGATAGCCCAAGTGCTGGCAGCGCAGCGGCAGGCCGAGCTGCTGCTGCAGGGCCCGCCGCCGCTGCTGCAGCAGCAGCAGCCTGCGCCGCAGCTGCTGCTGCACTTCCACCCAGCTGCAGCCTCCTCCGTCGGCCTCTGCTGCTGCTGCTGCTGCTGCTGCTGCAGCAAAGAGGGAGGGGGCGCCGCGGAGCCCCCAGGCGCCTGGCGGGACGTTTGCTGCTGCTGCAGCTTGGACCGCCGCTGCTGCTGCTGCTGCAGCGGGCGGGTCTGCTGCAGCAGCAAGCGCGCTGCTGCGCTGCAGCGCCTGCTTGAGCAGCAGCGTGGCGAGCGAAGGCGGCAGCGAATCCACCAGCAGCAAATTGGTGGGCTGGCAGCAGTAAGGACAAGGCAGCTGCTGCTCTCCAGCAGCAAAAACGGATTGCTGCTGCGCTTTGCTGTAGCGCAGATAACACTGCAAGTGCATGCGGTGTCCGCAGCAGCGGAGGACGAGCCCCTGGTGTACAGACACCGGAGACAGCAGCACGGGCTTCTGCTCCCCGGTGACGCCCCCGAGCCACCCGCTGCCGCTCCCGCTGCTGCTGCTGCTGCTGCTGCTGCTGCTGCTGCTGCTGCTGCTGGGGGCCAGGAAGCCGTCCTGGTTCCAAGGCGCGTGCAGCAAAAAGGCAGGCAAAGTCGCCCGCGGAGAAGACCCCACAGCAGACACCTGAATGTGGCAGAGCAGCCCCACGGGGTTGTGCGTCTCGGCCAAGTAGCTGTCTGTACACCGCGCAGCAGCAGCAGCAGCAGCAGAGGCCGCCTTGGGAGGCAGCAGCGCCTCGTCCTCCAACCTGCAAGACACGCAGCGCGGAATCTCTGCATGCGCCAACTGCGAAGCTTCTTCCAACTCCAACTGATGTCCTTCTTGGAACCTGTCTTGCTTCTTCCGGAAAGCAGCAAGCACCAGCGCCTGCCGCCGCCGCGCCGCCTGCGCAGCAGCAGCAGCAGCAGCAGCAGCAGCAGCAGCAGCAGGAGACGCGGGGTGAAGCGCTGTGCGTTTGCTGCGAAGGTTTGCTGACGCAGCTGCTGCAGCAAGGCCGAACCGCTGACAAAGCCACGCCAGCGAACACTCAAGCACACAGCAGCAGCAGCAGCAGCAGCAGCAGCAGCAGCAGCAGCAGCAGCAGCAAGAGCAGCAGCAGCAGCAGCAGGGACTAAAATGTGGTGACAGGAAGAAGGCAGAAGAGACAAAAGGAGACAAATGAACAAACCTCTCGCCATTCGCTGCCTCGGCCTTCTGCTGCATCTTCTGAGATTTGCTGCTGCTGCTGCTGCTGCTCCTGCTGCTGCTGGGAGTCTCCACTCTGGCTGGGGGAAACAGCAGCAGCTGCTGCGTCTGCTGCTGCAGCCTCTTCCGCCTGCGCCTCCTCTGCCTCCGCTGCTGCTGTTCCTGCAGCCGCCTGGCTCGCAGCAGCAGCAGCAGGACTCCCCTGGCCTGCTGCTGCTGCTGCTGCTGCTGCTGCTGCTGCTGCTGCTGCTGCCCTCCAAGCCTTCAGCTTAGCAGCAACACGCGGATCTCTTGCT